TAGTATCTAGACTAGAGTGAGTGACCGCTGGGCAGTTTCCTGGCTCCTCTCCACCTTCCACCCTCGTGTGATGGTTGGACAAACACCGCTGAATGGAGCCCTCGGCCAGACACTGACATACGAGCATTTTCCGCTAGTCGGCAGCGTCCCGGGGCAGAAAGGAACCATTACCGCTAAGTTGTATCGAGATGCACGTATACGGCGTGTTGCTCATGTTGCAAAGAAGTCAAGAGGCGTATTGTTCCTTATGTTGCAAGGCATATAATAGGATGTTTGCATTTTCTCATCTTGCAACAATATAAGTATACAAATTGTTCCCTGTGCAGCACGGATTAAAACAAACGGTGTGTTCCATATGGTTGACAACGAAAATGATCGCTTGAGGAGAGTCAGTGAATGGAGTCTTGAACAGTATCGAGCGAATGTTTCCTGCCATTAAAAAAAACGTGCAAGAACTCTACGTGTGTGAGTTGTTTCAAGTTTAGTCTTACACACACACACACACACACACACACACACACACACACTCTTTACATACATAGGAGTCATAATTTCTTTAAAGGAGCAAAAACACGATAGGCCTAGAGACGCATTATTAACGGAGAATCAAATAGGCCTGTGTAGCCTTGTAAACAGGTGAAGGCTGGTTCCCCATTTTAGGACCAGGTGTAGATTACCATCCTAACTCACCTAGGCCTACTATTCTGCCCACCACTCTACTCTGGTTTACAACTCTTCCTGTTTGTTTCCATGGGTTTACTACTTGGCTATTAATTTACCAGAGTTTACATCGCGCCTAGCACGTTTTGGTGGCTTACATGTATTCAGGGAGCGACAAGGTAATGATACCCATTTATTACCTGTAATTAGGAAACGAGAGAGAGAGAGAGAGAGAGCCTGTCAGTCAACACCTGCAATAAGGAAATCAGTGTTGGGTCATACCAGGTGTGCTGAGGCAATCAGTCTCCCTCGTTGAGTAGATGGAGAAACACCTTGATGTGTCTAGGTCACGAAGGTGGGCCACGAGAAGCTGAGAGAAGCGTAAGTTAAATTCCTCCTCATCTCTACCCCCTCCCCTTCCTTCTCCTCCCCTCCCCTCCCTCCTCCTCCTCCCTCCTCTCCCTCCCCCTCCCCTCTCCTCCTCCCTCCCCTCCCCCTCCCCTCCCCTCCCCCCCTCCCTCCCCCCTCCCCTCCTTCTCCCCTCCCCTCCCTCTCCCCCTCCTCTCCCCCCCTCTCAGTAAATACGAGCCTAAGAAAACAACGTATCATCTCGCTACGGTTTACAGTGTTCCTGCAATTTCGTCGCCACGTTTCGTTATGCAATATTACTGTGTTTAATGTCGTGTTTTGTGTCGTGCCTTTAAGTAAGTTTTTTTTTAAGGTTCTCTCACGTCTTTATGTTGTGGTGAGAGATACTGGAGAAATCGTACGTGAGAACTGTATGAGGATTTAGGATCGAGTCTCGGTACAGCCTCCAATAGCATAACCTTTTATCGCACACACTAACCAATAAGCTCTCTGGGAATCACAACATAACTTACAGTATAAAGAATATATTCAAACCATCACTTTATCGGGTTAGTTCCTATTCTCACATATTTATTTCTACTCTATTAAGCCGAGCCAATATCAGCCTCACCTGTAATTCTCAACTCAGGTATGAAGTGGTGAAGTATAATCCTGCTTTATCATTCTTTGGCAAATTTCAATCTCATTCCACTCTCCTCACCATCGACCAGCTCTTCTCTCTCTCTCTCTCTCTCACTTTCTCACTTTCTCCTCCATTTCGTATTCGATTATCTTTATTTTCACTTTCTCTTCACCATGGTCACAACACCAATGAAATCTCGTGGTAATAAATATCCTTCTTTATCTTGCCACCCCATGTTCCGTCCGTGTTCCCTTCAGTTGTTGTTTATTACCATTCACCTTCCTCCCTCCTTCATTCTTTCTTCTTCTTTTTTCCTCTCTCTCTCTCGTCTGTGCAACTTCATTCCTTCTTTTCACTCGTTTATGATTTACAACACTGAACTGTGGGTCATACACTCGCTTCTTATTAAACGCTTTAATTCATGCATCTTCTTTTAAGGACGGTGGGTGGGTGTGAGTGGGTGGGGGCGTAATTAGATAAACGTGGATAGTTAGGTGTAGGTAGTTAAGCAGGGAAGTTAGTTTGGTGTACGTGGTTAGGTAGGGTAGTTAGGCGGGATAGTTAACGTTCCTGACCTTCTCACACACCATGTTAAAAACTTGCTTGAGAGACACACTAGGAACTTAGAGAGAGAGAGAGAGAGAGAGAGAGAGAGAGAGAGAGAGAGAGAGAGAGACCATATTTGTAAACGCTTACAGGAGAGTCAGGACGAAAATAACGAGAGAGAGAGAGTGAAACAGAATACATTTGCATAAGTTTGCAAGGGGAGTGGAGAGGCGGTAAGCACGAGGTAGAGGTATGTTTGAAGCCCTGCAGTGTGCAACTTGCAACTCTGGTATGTGCAACCTGCGTGAAGATGACCGCCCCAACGACCGCTTGTTACGTCTTTGGATTATTGTGCTGTGTTGAGCTGTGTGTATGTGTCAGGGATGTGATTTCTCCGTTTTTTTTTTTTCGGTTTTCCGGGTTTTTTACCATCGTTTTAGGCGACCTAGGTGAATTGCGTAGATCCGTTGAAAAAATTGCGGAGGGAAGGGGGGGGAGGGAGGGTGGTATGACCATGACTAGAGAAATGTTTGAAAATAATGACCCTCTAGTGTGGATGGGTCTGCCCCGCGAGGACGATGAGCCAGTATAATGGCCTCACTCAACATGTTCAAGCATTACATCATATACTATACTCGTTGGCTGAGTATGGCTTGTTTTGTATTCCATTCTTCGATTCTTTAGTATTTCATTGACCAAAGATCAATGACGCCATACAACGTCACCATTAGACGCATTATAATATGTCCCTCCACCCTATCCACCCTCTCCCACGGGTGGGGGAGGGGCTAAATTTTTTTTCAATATAACTAAGTTTCTATAATCATTTTACACTTTCTGATGATCACAATTTATTCTATAACCCATGACATATTTCATATTTGTATAGGCAACTCAGTAGGGCGTGTGTGTTCCCCCCTCCCTCCCCCGAGGTCAGGGCTGTAGGGTGTGTGTGTGTGTCCCCCCAGGAGGTCAGGGCTGTAGGGCATGTGTGTGTCCCCAGGATATCAGGGCTGTAGGGCATGTGTGTGTCTCCAGGAGGTTTGGGTTATATTCACCACAGTTTCCATCGTTGTAATTTTTCGTGTTGTGATTATTTTCTTAGGTTAGGTTGGGTTAAGTTTAGTTGGGTTAGGTAGTGATTAATTGCATTTTGTAACGAATAGGTGAGTTTTTTGCTATTAATTGCTTTTTGCAAGATATCGTGATTTGTATTTATTTTTTGCTCGATGTAGCGAAGAGGCAAAGTTAGCGACGTGACGTAGCATCGAGTGGTCGGTGAGACAAGTTCTGACACCATATCGTGTTACTGTTGTGTGACACGCTGTTCAGGGTCGCTGACGAGGTTTACCTGTTGTCAGTTTACACCTGTTGGCAGTGAGGTCTTTGTCTTGGTTGTGAGCAGCTGTTGTCTGTGTTAACTACGGCTGCTGTCGGGGTAAACTTATCTATGGTGAGTTTACTTTTGTGTGACTTGTTGTCGTTGGTAAACTTGTTTGTATCTTGAGTTTACTTCTGTTATTGGTAGATAATTGAGGTGCTCTGGGATACCTACCAGCTGTGTGAGTTTACTTGTGATGATGTGAGTTTAACTTTAAAATGAAGTTTACCTATAGTACGAGTCTCCTTTATTGTGAGTTTACCCCTGAAGTGAATTTTACCAGATGTGAGTGTACCAGCAAAGTGAGTTTACAGTTAAGTTTAGTTTACTGCACAAAAATACAATAAGTAAACTATATTGCCTAAGTTTACACAATTACACATTTCTTTCTACAACATGTCCGCTGTTATCTCCTCATGCAAGAAATAAACCAATCAGTGTATTATTTTCTTATCTTTGTTATATTGTACTTGGAACGGAAGCCAATCTAAATTTAGCTTGATTTTAGGGGATGTTTTGGGAATTGGGAGGGGGGGAGGGGTTGGTGGAAGGGGGTGAGGTTGAGAGGCAGGTGTGGGTGAGGGGGGGGAGAGAGAGTTTGACAGTCCTTGGTGAAACGACTGAACGAGCACTGGGCAGACTCAGGTGCTGTCTAAGTGGTAATGGAAGTAACATGAAAATACTAATGGTTAGGTTAGCGTTAGGTTAGATTAGTCTGGTTAACGTTAGGTTAGATCAGCATTAGGGTGGTTAATCATCAGGTGATCCTAATAATCTTACTTAACTACCCCAACCTAACCTAACCTAACCTATCACCACGTGAGGTTAAAAATGTTTCTTGTACATGAACAAAAAAAGTTTGACTCATTGACTTGTTTACCAATATGGTGAGTTACGTGTTTTCTTTTTTGCAGTTACTGTCCGTGTTTTTGGAGTTACGTGTTCTTTTTGCAGTGAGGTACGCGTTCCCTTTGCAGTGAGATATGCGTTCTTTTTGCAGTAAGTTATGTGTCCTCCTTGCAGTGAGATACGCGTTCTCTTTGCAGTGAGATACGCGCTCTGAGATTTACTTTCACGCGTTGAAGGAATGCCAAGACTCGCTGGGCCACAACCTCACCTAACACACACACATTAATCTCCTAGAGTCACGCGATGAATATAACCTTATAAGGAATATATATAACGCTGGGAGATGTGACTATAGTACTGTGACTCACGTGATTTTGTTGTGATGGTGATTGTAGAGTGATTGGGCAGGTCAGTAGAGAGATTAATCAATAAGGGATTAGCTGTTATAATTACAAGAAATAAGGAGCTTCAATAAGAGAGCCACGTGGAAATGGACTATCTGGCAGCCCCCCTCCCTCCCTCCACCTTAACCCAATCCATTCGTTCGGGCTTGGAGCATCAGTTTGAGTTCCGCGCTCGTGGTAGGAGGACGCTAGTAGTCGATGTCGTGTGCTTTTTGTATGCTCTCTTGAGTTTGGCCTGGCTATATCGTACGAAACTCGTATTTTACGTTTGCAGTGCCTTGGAGTGTTGATAATTGGTTATCTTACGGTGATGTGCGAATGAAAATGGATTTAGTATCTGTGTACTGCGTATATGTCTAAGCAGGTGTTTGGTGTATGCTATCTCTGCGCTGCTTAATATCCAAGAGCCTTTTTGGAGTGACCTTCGCATCGCTCTCTCGCTGTTGTTAACCTCCGTGGTAAAATAAACTCCTTTATTTGGAAATGTGACGTTGCCATGGAAAGCTCTTACCTGTATCGGTTCTCACCTGCAGTACTGGAAAGTGAGTGTATTAGAGTGGTGGCGGGGCGCTGAGGACTTGTGAGAGGCCTGCCTGCTGCCGCCAACTTGCCGCATACCGCGCTCGCTTTTCAAGGTGTGCAACGCCACAAATATGGTCGGACTTCCTCACGGGGAAACGGAACAGTGATTTCCCAGTTTTGTTTTCGTTACATTGGTCGAGACGTTAACAGAGACAGCAAGTGAAGAACAATGGGCCGCCTGAAAGCGTGGCAGAACCTCAACCCACTCTTCTCAGGGAAATACAAGAAGCTGTTGGAAGAATATGGTTCCAAGGACTATTCGAGGTTGTTGCTGCAGGAGTCGCTGCAGGACTACCTCTCCTACGCCTGTGGCCAGTGTGGACACATACAGAAATTACAGGTAAAGTGAGAATACTTGATGCTGTAGTGCGGGTCAAGTAGTATTAAGTACACCCTTCACCTCGTTGGTAGATGTATTTTTACGCAGCTCGACGCCGATATTGTTTTTAAATGAGTAACTCTTCTTAACTGCTTGTCGGAAATTAAGAGTATTTATTCATTAATAAGACAAATATGAATAAAAAGTAATAGGTTGGCAAGCTGCTATGAAGACAGGGTCGAGGGGAAGTTAGTATTTATAAGGCAGGTTACGCACACGCCTTTGAACGCCGGGAAAGATGATCGTAGTAAGAATTGTTATTGGGGATCAAATAGGAGAGTTACCGAAGGAGGAATGAGTTAAGGGAGAGAGAGAGAGGCTAACTAACTAACTAACCTTGCCACTAGTAAAGGCTGGGTGGCGCCACTACCCACTCGGTCAGTAATGGTTGATGATTTCAAAGGTCAGGGAACCTCGTATTCCATGACCAGAGGGCCGGGGCCTGGAAGTCACATTCCACTCCGTCACAGCCACAAGAAATGACTGACCCAAGTGCTGAAGATTAAATGTCAAAATGGTATTTCTCCTTCCACCCAAAAAAAAAAACGGTGTAAACTTTTAATGCACATATATACGGTACGCAATTAAAGTATATAGACTTGTAATACACATACATGCGTAAATAATGTGTATAGGCTTGTTATACACACACACACACATACGCATTTTTTTTTATTTACCCAATATGTGTTTGTACGTGAATGTAAAATACGTATAAATGGTGAAAGAGAACATAATACGTATTGGTGGATAAAAGGAACAAATAAGATAAGTAAATAAAACAAGGTTGAAGAAGAAAAGAAAATTACGCTCCACTGACCAAGGATGCCAGAAATTCTCGATCAACCTTGAAGACCCGCAGCCTGAGTCAGCCACGTTGACGAGTTAGTGTTGGGGAGGTGTTGTGTGTGTACTTAACAGCTCTCTCTCTCTCTCTCTCTCTCTCTCTCTCTCTCTCTCTCTCTCTCTGTGTGTGTGTAGAAGGTATACATCATCCAGTTCTTTCCTTTAGTTTACCTGTATATTGTATGTGGATGTGTTTTTCATTTGTTGAAGTTCTTAGCCATTGATGTACTTCACAGGTGTAGTACATTGAGGGGGAGATACCAGCCGCATAAGTTCCGGATTCTCAGAGCTTCGTGCGTGTAAAATTTTCCCTACTGGAGATACGAGGAGACCTCTAACTCACTGATGATACGACATAGAAATGGCGTCGAACTTACACCTGGGATTACCGTAACTAAAGACTTTCTTTGTCAACTGTTGAGGATATTAACGTATGATGAATCTTTGAGAATTGACCGTAAAGCGATTAATTGAATGATTCTTTCAATCTTTGGTTCCGTAAAGCGAGGAAAGGTACGAGTCTGTTAATTTTGACCGTAAAGTGAAATATTCCGGACCACGTGGAGCGAATCCTTGACCATCTAGCTAGACATACCGGTACTCATCTCCCCCCTGTGACTACCCTCAGCACCTGCCTGAAGGAGGGAGAGCACCCGGGTGTTCTGTCTGACTCCACCTCGACGCCGGAGCATGACGCGGAAACTTGCCAGGTATTGTATTAATTGTGTGGCTAATGGACGGAATGTTAACTGCAAACCTCACACCACGGCAGCAGACTTGCGTGACACAGCAAGCCAACTGACTAACGACACAGTAAGCCAGCAGGTAAAAGGCACAGTAATCCAGCAGACAAAAGACACAATAAACCAGCCAGTATACCCCAGCAGACATGAGCCATCCAGTCAATGAGAACATGCCAGCAGCAGACAGGTCAGCAGACTTCGCCTTTCACACGCTGACTTACTGCTTCCTCCCGAACCCAAAACCGAAAGTAATGGGGAGATTTTAAGCTGAATTTTATTACAGCCCATTTACGAGATAACAGGGAGGGAGAGGCACCAGGCAAGAACCAGTTTGTCCCCATATAAAACCTCTTCTTTATTAACAAGCTAGAGCGCATTGGTCGGTTATATATGTAAAAAAAAAAAGGAAAACTGGTAACGTGGAATGGTGACGCAAGCCAGAATTTTTTGGGACGTATTTTGGATCACCAGAAAAGTAACCCACCCCCCTGTTTATTTTACCTTAAGATTAGTCACCCTATGGTAGGTTTAGGTTAGGTTAAGGTTGTTAGTCTTACGAACGTTTGTCTACGATTTAAGTTTTCAAGGGAATGGTAAAAATCTCTCGGTGAAAACATCCATCCGACACATTCCTTCTCTAAGCTCTCACTGTGCTGTTGTTTTCTATAGTATATATAAAGGGAAAAATTTTAAATTTACCAGATATAGATTTATAACGTATAGGCCTATTAAACTATAGGTCTAAATGGTGTGTTTTGTGGCTTATTCATCAATTATTCCACATACTATGGTTAGAAGTGCCGATTTTTATAAGCCTATTCATTATATAATTTCTCTCCGAGGCAGCTTACTATAAATCAGTATCGTAATAAGAGAATAAATTTTAAATCTATAAGAATTTCATAGGCCTATAGAAATCACTTCGTAGGCCCTCTTGTCATTTATCATAATATAGAAGTTTCAAAACCATAACTAATTTTAATAGGCCAATGACATTGATTCTTAGTTAGTCACTTGTTTATTACGTCTTATAGGCCTAGTGTATAATGTTGCCAGGATGGGAATATTGTAGGCCTATAAGGTTAATATAATGGTCTATTGAATCATTTGACTGCCAGGTAAAGTCTTGGGGTGTGGGGATCGGTGGTAGAAGCGGTACCGTTCTTTCCTCACAAGCGAGATGTCACGGGTTCGATTCCCGGGCCGGTGGAAGTTGTTTGGACTTACTTCCTAGCCCCCATTAGTCCCTGTTCACCTAGCAGTAAAGTAGGTACCTGTTGTAAGTCGAAAGTTGCGAATTCGTATTCAGGGAAAGTTGTTGGAGCTTCCAATAACTTGATGACATAAACCATTGACTCTTCAGGCTTCTACGCCCTTAACTCGTGAGACATAAAGGCAAGCAAGTACTTAGCATGCTTCCCTGTTGGGCGCTGTAAACGCTTCTGCGCTTCACCTTACACAAGGGTGTAGGGGAGTGCCCAATAAAAAAAAAAGTCTTGGACACTTTTCAAGACTGTGTGGTGACGTGGAGAGGGAATTAGTTATGTTTGTAAGGTTATTAGTCAAGTCTGTATGGTAATGAGTTAGATCTGTAAGATAATAACAGGGCTGAGGTAATTAGTTAAGTCTGTGAGGTAATAACAGGTCTAAGGGAATTTGATATGTAAGGTAATTAGCTAGGTTTGTAAGGTTGTGAAATTGGTCTGTATGGTAATTAGTTAGGTTTGTAAGGTAATTACATAGGTCTTTAAGGTAATTACATAGGTCTTTTGTATACTTCATTACCTGTATTGAACTCTTAGATGCATTTCTTCAATAGGATAGAATAACTTGGTAACTCTTACGTTTAATTGTAAATTTGTATCGTAACTCATTATATCAATTCCTGTTGCGTCTCTTGTTAAATTCGTTGAACAAGTTGACATTGAAGTCTCGTAGCGTATAACTTGTTAAATGAACGTCGGCGATTAACATTCTTGGCCACCATTCCATCATATAAGACCCTGAGGCACCATAGATGGGCAGTCAGGTCCCTTACGTGCTCATGGCTTGGTGGGAGAGAGAGAGAGAGGGGGTGGGGTGTGAGGGCTGGAGATACCCACGATAACACGTCCAAATGGTTCAAGTTTGAGGGCTGGGTAGGAGGGGTCTGTACCTGCCTCCCATTCATCACATTATCAGGTATTTTAAAGAGTTGTGGCGTTGAGTGTGTGAATGTCCTTCCCCTTGGTCTTAGGTCTCGTGTGTGTGTGTGTGTGTGTGTGTGTGTGTGTGTGTGTGTGTCCTTGAACAAGTATTTCTCAGCTACTATACTCAGTTGTTTGGGGAAGAGCACCTGTCCTTATACCTGCACCTGTCCTTATACCTGCACCTGTCCTTATACCTGTACCTGTCCTTATACCTGTACCTGTCCTTATACCTGTACCTGTCCCTGTGTCCTTATACCTGCACCTGTCCCTATACCTGTACCTGTCCTTATACCTGTACCTGTCCTTATACCTGTACCTGTCCTTATACCTGCACCTGTATACCTGCACCTGTCCTTACTATACCTGTGTCCCTACCTGTCCTTATACCTGCACCTATACCTGCACCTGTCCTTATACCTGCACCTGTCCTTATACCTGTATACCTGTACCTTTCCTTATACCTGTACCTTTATACCTGTACCTGTCCTTATACCTGTACCTTTCCTTATACCTGCACCTGTCCTTATACCCGTACCTTTCCTTATACCTGTACCTTTCCTTATACCTGTACCTGTCCTTATACCTGTACCTGTCCTTATACCTGCACCTGTCCTTATACCTGTACCTGTACCTTTCCTTATACCTGTACCTGTCCTTATACCTGTACCTGTCCTTACACCTCTACCTTTCCTTATACCTGTACCTGTCCTTATACCTGTACCTTTCCTTATACCTGTACCTTTCCTTATACCTGTACCTGTCCTTACACCTCTACCTTTCCTTATACCTGTACCTGTCCTTATACCTGTACCTTTCCTTATACCTCTACTTTTCCTTATACCTGTACCTTTCCTTATACCTGTACCTGTCCTTATACCTGCACCTGTCCTTACACCTCTACCTTTCCTTATACCTGTACCTGTCCTTATACCTGTACCTTTCCTTATACCTCTACCTTTCCTTATACCTGTACCTGTCCTTACACCTCTACCTGTCCTTATACCTGTACCTGTCCTTATACCTGTACCTTTCCTTATACCTGTACCTTTCCTTATACCTCTACCTTTCCTTATACCTGTACCTTTCCTTATACCTGTACCTGTCCTTACACCTCTACCTGTCCTTATACCTGTACCTGTCCTTATACCTGTACCTGTCCTTATACCTGTACCTGCCCTTATAC